TGCCTGTAGTTCCAGCTACTTGGAAGGCTGAGGTGGAAGGATCACCTGAGCCCAGGAGGTGAGACTACAGTGGCCATGAGCGTGCCACCGCTCTCCAGCCTGGGTGACAGAGTGAGACTCCAACTCAAAAACAAATTTTTTTTTTGGTAGAGACAGGATCTTTCTATGTTGCCTAGGCTGGTCTCAAACTCTTGGTCTGAAACAATCCTCTGGCCTTGGCCTCTCAATTTTAGCCACTGCATCCAGCCTAAAATTTTCTTGTAACCACATTAACAAAAGGAGAAACAAGTGAAAATTAATTTTGGTAATACTTTTTTTGGGATCAGAGTCTCACTTTGTCACCCAGCTGGAGTGCAGTGGCACATTCATGGCCACCACAGCCTTGATCTACTGGGCTCAGGCGATTCTTGTGCCTCAGCCTTCCAAGTAGCTGGAACCACAGGCACACACCACCACGCCTGGCTAATATTTTTTTTATTCTTGTGACAAGGTCTCGCCAAGTTGCCCAGGCTGGTCTCAAACCCCTGGATTCAGGCAGTCCTCTCGCCTCTGCCTCCCAGAGTGCTGGGATTACAGACATAAGCCACCACGCCTGGCTAATTTTAGTAATACTTTTTTTTCCCCCATTTAACATACCCTAAATATTATCACTTCAACATGTAGTCATGATTACAATTATTTAATGAGACATGCGACATTCTTTTTTACATGAAATCCTTCAAGTCTGATGTGCCCTTTACACTTCAACACATCCCATGGCAGACTAGCCACATTTCAAATGCTCCATCACCACACATGTCTAGCAGTGAGTACTGCATTGGACAGTGCAGACTTGGAAGATTAGAATCATTGGCTAGCAGAACCTTCAGAAGCATAGCTAGGTACAGTGAGAACATTTGGATCTTGAAATCCTAGAAGGTTAGAATCCCAAAAAGCGTGACATTTTGAAAGCTGGGAAAGTTGGAATCCTTGAATCAGTGAAGGACTTGGGGCCCTCAGAACCTGGAGTCTCGGGGTGCTGTGGTATGTCAGCCTCAGGGCTTCCGGCTTGTCAGGAGCTGAGGATATGGGGCAACTAAGAGAGGCTGCTGTGGCTCAGATCCCCGCCCACCACCCACTGCAGGGACGTGTCGTCGGTGGAGGTGCTCATGAACTACCATCAGGGGCTGAAGACCGAGCTGGAGGCGCGGATGCCAGAGCTGACGGCCTGCCAGGAGTTGGGGCGCTCTCTGCTGCTCAACAAGAGTGCCATGGCTGATGAGGTGGGGAGGAGCATAGGGGGTTTCCCTCTGCCACCCGGGCACATTGAGGTGGGAGCCACCCTTGATGCCTTCTACCCACCCACTGCTCCCAGATCCAGGCACAGCTGGACAAGCTGGGAACCAGGAAGGAGGAGGTGTCAGACAAGTGGGACCGCCATTGGGAGTGGCTACAGCAGAGTGAGTGGGGGCCTGGACACATGTGGCTCAAGGGCATAGGGACACGCTCCAGCACGTCTGGCCAAAGGCCAGAGGATATCACAAGCATGCTTTGCACACTACCCATGGGTCCCCAGAAGCGGGTGGACAAGGGGACTGCGTTGCCATTGAATCCCTGGTGGCAAACACCTAGGAGAGAAACTGGTTCCTACAAAAACAACCACAGGCCAGGCATAGTAGCTCATGCCTATAATCCCAGCACTTTGGGAGCCCGAGGTGGGAGAATTGCTTGAGCCTGGGAATTCAAGACAAGCTTGGGCAACATAGCAAAATTTTGTCTGTATAAAAAAAAGTAGCCGGGCTCGGTGGCTCAGCCTGTAATCCCGCACCTTTGGGAGGCTGAG